CAGTTCCCACCACAGCCCTCCCGTGTCTGACTCCTCTGGGCATCGCAAACCTCCTGCTTTTCTCTTCTAAGGACGCTGTCCCTGGCTGTAGGGCCCAGCCAGATAATCCACGGCGATCTCATCTCCAAGAGCTTCATCGCGTCCATGAGGCAGGGGGGCCTTTCCCCTCATAAGGTTGAATTTATAGGTTCCATGTGGACCTAACTTTTGGAGGTAGTGGGGGCACCGTTCAATGCACTAGAGGGTTAAATGAGGTAAATTAGGTGCTCAGTGAGGCCCTGGACACTGTCTTGCCTTTTTTTTTTTTTAAAAAAAGATTTATTTATTTGAGAGAGAGAGAGAGAGTGAAAGAGGGGAGGAGGGGCAGAAGGAGACTCTCCAGCAGACTCCCTGCTGAGTGCAGATCCCCACACAGGGCTTGATCTCACCACCCTGGGATCAGGACCTGAGCCGAAATCAAGAATCAGATGCTCAACCGACTAAGCCACCCAGGTGTCCCCACTGTCTTACTGTTTGTTTGTTTTTTAAAGATTATTTATTTATTTATTTATTTATTCATGAGAGACACAGAGAGAGAGAGGCAGAGACACAGGCAGAGGGAGAAGCAGGCTCCATGTAGGGAGCCCGCTGTGGGACTCGATCCTGGGACTCCAGGATCACGCCCTGGGCCGAAGGCAGGCGCTGAACCGCTGAGCCACCCAGGGATCCCTGTCTTACTGTTTTGACGAATGTGAACTATTACCTTGATTTTGCTGGGTGCACATGCTAGTTTAGTGCACCGAGTTGGTCGCCTATCTTTAAGATTCAAGAGCTTTTGAGTGAAGATGGGGATCTCTTTTTTTTTTCTCCAAAGATCTCATTCATTTATTTATTCATGAGAGACACAGAGTGAGAGGCAGAGACAGGCAGAGACAGAAGCAGGGTCCCCACAGGGAGCCCGATGTGGGACTTGATCCCAAGACCCCGGGATCAGGACCTGAGCCAAAGGCAGACACTCAACCATGGAGCCACCCAGGTTCCCCAAAATGGGAATTTCTTAAGAAAAATCAGAACATTTGGCACCATGAGGCCAAACTCTACAAGGCTACAGTGACCCGAGAAGTGACTGCTCTTCAGAGGGGCATGTGTGCCACCGCTTTCCTGCTTCCCAGTGTTACCCAGCTGGCCCTGGGGCATCAGGGTCTGAGTCTCCTTGGACCGTGTCTGTCTTGCTCAATGCTGCAGCCTCGCTGCCCAGCTCAAGGCCTTCCACGGAAACCAACGAGGGATCCAAGACTTCAGGCCTGGCCCTCCCAGGCCCTGGGTGGGTCCTTCCTCTCTGTGGACCTGTCTCCACATCTGCAAGAAGGGGGAAGGCATGAGATGCTCCCCTGTGCCCCTCATAAACTCTGGGGAGATGGCAGGAGGCGGGTGTGAGGCTTGAGTCCAGCAGTGATGCTGCGGCGGACAGTGCTGGGAGGCCCCACAGCCGCGCTTCTGCTCTCAATCCCGGCTGCACATTAGGATCACCTGGATGATTTTCGTTTCAATACCTGTGACCAGGCCCCAATCCACAGCAAAGAGGGTTGCCCTCTGTTTGTAGGACAGACCTTCAATGTCTTTATTCCTCCTGAGACCCCTCTCAGGTTCATTGATTCTTTCTCTTTATTCTCTCTCTCTCTCTGTCTCCCTTCCTCCCCATTGGGAGCCATTCTATTATGTAAGTGAGTCTCTTTTTTTATCTTGTAAAATGAGTGTTTTTGTTTTATGTCCATAATTTGTAATCGACACACGTGGGCTGGTAGCATAGGTCTTGATTTTGCTTTTACCATCACAGGTTTGGCTCCCCTGCCCCATGGGCACACTCGGTCCCTGGCTCCTGATGACCGCACCAAAGTCCTTGGTGTGCGCGATCCCTGTGTTTCCCATCTGCTGCCCTAGAAAGGACACCCAGGCCACCCCCAGCTCCTACCCCATAAACACTGTTGCAGTGAACATCCTTGTGCACGCTCCCACACAGTCCCATGATTTCTTTGGGAAGTCACCCAGGAGCGGAATTATTGCCAGATACCTACGTGCAATGCTTTATTTGACTAAGCCAGACTCAAATTTTTACCAGACTCATGTTAGAATGACAGCTTGTTGAAATTTGCCTTCCTCCGATTTCCAATGAGTTTGAGCCCTTGGGCACACACCCTGGTTGGTCTTTTGGGTTTTTTCCTTCTATAAGTTGCCTGTTTATACCTGTTGCCCATTTTTCTATTTGGGTTGCTCTTTTTCTCATAAAAAAAAAAAATCTGATCCGTGTTAGACTCTGCAGATATTTTTTTCCCTTTCTGAAGCCTATTACATTTGCCCATGATGTCTTTCCTTTAACAAAAGTTTTAAATTTTAGCAAAGTCCTTTTTTTTTTTTTTAATGATTTGTTCTATTGGAGTTTTAAGAAGTCCTTCTCTGCTGCTGGTCATCAAACATTTTCCTCTCTCAACTTTATAGTTTGTCTTTCAGAGGATGTATAATCCATCAGAGAAACCTTTTCCGGGAGGACTCAGGTAATGGAAAGGTCTCATATCTGTACCATCTAGTTAGCAGTCGCTGGTTAAAAGTGACAGTGGAGGACGTGAAATGTGACTAGTGCAACTAAGGGGCTGAAATGTTTCATTTTATTTCATTAACTTAAAATTCAAAAGCCACACATGGTTAGTGGGGTTCTTTTGTTGTGGTGTTAAGTAGGGATTCTGTTTTCTTTTCTTTTTTCCCCCCCAGATTAACCAATTTCCCCACTATTATGAAACAATCTATTTTCCCCTCATTGTCTTGCGGGGCCATCCTTATCATGTTTAAGCTCATGCTGGATACACCTGGGGCTGCCTCTCGGTTCTCTGGAGAAGCCCGGTGGGTCTAGTGAAGGTTAGAAAATCGCGATTCTACAGTAACAGAATTTTTAGGCAGATGCCCAGCCGCCCAGAAGAAAGACTACGTTTCCCAACCTCCCTTGCTGCCAGGTGCAGCCACGTGAGGGGGCTGTGACCAATGAGGCAATGGCGCGCGACCTCTGGGTCGTGTCCTTAAAGGGGAGTCGCCGCCTTTCCCGCTCCTTTGGGACCACTGATTCAGCCCGGGGCGTGGCGGGGCAATTTGCATTTCGAGCAAGTTCCCCGGGCTGCTGCTGGTCCGGGAGCCGCACTTGGAGCACCGCTGGTCTGACCGGTTTCCCTCCCTCATCCGGGGTCAGGCGAATACCTCCCCGGCTTCCCCTCCTGGGCCGTCGCGGGCTCGAGCACAGCGCCCCCTGCTGCAGCCCAGGCAGCACTACCTGCGTGGCGCCACGTCAGGTGGGCAGGTGGGCACGTGGGGACGAAGCCAGGCCCGGGCGGATGTCGCCTCCTGCCCTCGCGGAGCCCGTCGCCAGCGGGGATCAGCGGGGGCCTGCCCGGAGGGGACGCAGGAGCGGGAGAGCGCCGGCAGCCCGAAGGCTTCGGGGGCCTTGGTGGCGGTGCCCCCTTTTGAGCCTCTAGCCCCGGGCCCGGGCCGCCGGCCCCGCTGGCTGCCCAGCCTTCCCGACACTGACCAGGCCCCTGTATTAAATCCCCCGTTTGGAACACCTGGAGGGGCTTCGCTGCAGCCGTGGGAACCCCTTGCAGATGCGGCCTCCGCCAGCGCTCTCAAGGCCACCCGAGACCATCCTTTGCACTGATGGGGACGGAAGGTGACAATCACAGCAGAGTGGCCACGGGGCCCAACGGAGGCGCATCCCCCCAGGCTGTCCCTCCCGTCGCAGCGGGGCCCCTCGCCCGCGGCGGCGCGTCCCGGAGCGGCCCCGGAGCGGCCCCGGGGCCCCAGGCGGAGAGCGGGGTGGCCCCGAGCGCTGTCCCTGGCGGGTTGTAGCATCACGGGCGCACCAGCCTCCCGGAGGGAGTCCGCCTGCTCTCCCTTCTCTGTTTTCTGGAACAATTTGTACAAGGTGGGATTTACTTGATCCTTCAAAGGCTGGTAGAACTCATTTGTAAAAACATTCAAGCCCAAAGCTTTTCTTTGGTGTGTCTGTGTGTGGGGGGTGTGACTTTGGTCTTTTCTTGTTTTCTGTTCCTCCTTATCCCCATCTTGGCATCGTTCTTCCCAGAGATGTAACAACTCCTCCCAGGCATCCAACACGTTCATCCATGGCAGCAGCTGCTTCCCTGGGTATGTTTAAGCCTGAGTCCCCAGCCAGACTGTGCCCGGTCTTGGCCAGCCCTGGTCGCACACCCGGCTCCCCGTCTGGGCTGGGTCATGTGACAGTGGGGAGCGGGAGGTGTGGCCCAAGCCTGAGTCTCTACAGGTTTCCAGCCGGAGAACCAGGCTGAGGTCCCAGGTGCCCGAGGCAGTGGGGATCGCTGCTCACTCTGCCGCTGTCCCCAGGAGGCCGCTGCTGCCCCCACACCCGCCACTGTTCAGGTTCTGGGGGAGACCCACACAGTCCAAGCTCAGCACCAGCCTGGGGCGGTCAGTGCCCAGAACACAAGGGCGGCGTGGTCCCCTGGGTGTCAGCCAATTCCCTTCTCCCCTCGGAGACCCAGGCTCAGGATCTGGAGGGAAGGCCAGTGGGTGTCCCTAAAGCTCGCTGTTCCAGATCCATCCACCTTAGCCGATTCCTCAAAAGCCCACCTGCCCACTGACCAATTTCCTACCATCAGTTCATCAAGCATCATTCCTGAACATGCTCAAGACAACCTCTAAAAGAAGCTTCCAGCAAATCTCAGATGTGGCAAACTGGGCATCGTGGCACACGGACTCTGGTAAACCGGCTCTCTGCAGACCAGGGGGCGGGCGAATCGGGGTCCCATGTTGCGGGCATTACTGGCTGCTTTGACCTGGGGCTCCCCCCCACCCCCCGACCAGACATGGCTCTTGCCCTACATGGGCTGGGATCTGGGGGCTGGCCAGGCCTCCCTCCCTCAATCCTCGGGCCCTTCTCCCCAATTCCACACCGAGATGGCCTGGACAGGGAGAGGCCCCTACGCACCACGCACACAACCCCGAAACAAGAAAACGATTTAATTGTAAAACTAACTTGAGGGGGTGGGTGGGGGTGGGGCTGTGCCAAAGGGACAGGAACCTGATTCTTCAAGCGGTGGTTCTGTCCCTGGGGCTGCCCCGTCTGTCCCCAGGTCGGGACAGGGGCCAGAGTGTTATAAAATGACAATATAAATAGACTTCTAAAAAAGAGGAGGCTGTCCAGGTGCAGTAGTCATCTGCAGAGGCTGGGGATGGGCGAGAGGCCCTGGTTCCCGTCTCCCCAGCCAGCCACAGAAAGGGGGTGCAGGACATGGGGAAAGGCCACTCTTCAGACATTCATGATCGACCCCCGCAATGGCTCAGGGGGGCCGGGGGCTGTGCCGTATGTCAGGCAAGGCCTCAGACACCCACTTGCAGGCTGGAGGACAGAGCAGCTGGACCTTCTGCATGGGCGTACGTGCACACACTCACACACGCATGCACACACGCACCCCCCTTTCGTAGTGTTCTCTCCACCCACAGCAGCCCCCACTGCAGATGATTTCCAGTGATGGGGGGGCCGCCTGTCCTTCCTGGAAGACAGGAAGACGCAGGGAGGGACTGTCCCGGAGGGTGGGGAGTCCGGGGACCCTCGCTTGCTCCCACGAGTCCCTGTGTTTTGTTTTGTTTTGTTTTGTTTTAAAGTCACAAAATCAAAGCTGGAGTTCAGTAGTAGGGTCCTGCACACTCCCCCACCCCTGGCCAGGAGGGTGGTGCCACGTGGAGCGTCTCCCAGGCTGGGAGGAGTGGGGGCCGGCCCCCTACTGGCCTGTGGCAGGGCAGGGGTCACCCGAGGGGCTCTTTGGTTCAGGGACAGGGCACTGGGCCTCATCTGGTGCGGTTCTGGCGCATGAGGGGCACGATGCTGGCGGGTGGGCCCGCTTTGGCCAGGAACGGGTGCTTCAGCAGTTCAGCCGCTGTGGCCCGCTGGGCCGGGTCACGCACCAGCAGGCGGTCCAGGAAGCCCTTCAGGGATGGTGACACCTGCCGGAAGGTGGGGGCGAAAGTTGGGGGAGGGGTGTCTGAATGCCGGCTCCACTGCTCACTTGCCATTGGGCCTCAGTTTCCTCTTCTGTCAAATGGGCTGACAACATCCACCACCTGGGCAGGGGGCCAGGAGGGCCCAGGGTCTAGAGCTTGGCCCCAAATCCAAAGACCCCAGGGGCTCATTTCAAGGTTTGGAGGAGGTGACAGCAGCGGGGCCCTGGAGGGTGCCCCACGTCCCCAGGTGATTTGTCTGTCAGGAGGGCTCCTCTCAGGGCTCTGGCCGTGCTGGGTGTGCTCAACCAGCCAACCGAAGTACAACCACGGTGGGGCAGTGGTGAGGGCTCAGGGGACCCGTGGGGACGGGGAGTGGGGAGCCCAACACAGATGAAGTGTCACCTCCCCCACACCACCCGCCTGCCAGGTGGGGCGCACCTTGTGCAGGTTTTTCAGTCGGGGTGGCAGGTTGTCCCGAATCATCTTCATGGCTTTGAGGGGGGGCTCATTGAAGTAGGGGGGCTCCCCGTCCACCATCTCGATCACCATCACCCCCAGAGACCAGATGTCCACCTGTGGTGGGGAAGGGACGTAGGGCTGAGCTGCGTGGGGCCAGGCCAGGGCTGGGGGAAGCCACGCAGGGCTGGCCCCTGGCTCTGCCTCTGCCTCCCTGCTCCTGGAGCCCTCGGGCCCCAAACACCCTCTCTGACACCCAGCTTGCCAGACCCGCACACCCCTCCCCCAGGGAGCCCTCTGAAGGGTTCTGCCCACACAGTGCCCCTCCTTCCCTCGGTCTGTGGATCATCCGGGGCTCTGTGACCAGCCGCCTCACCAGCATCGCTGGGACAGAGCAACTGGTTCATGAACAGGCACGTGACCTGAGCTGAGCCCACCAGAGTCCACTCTAAGGCTTTAACCGAAGTATCCGGGAAAACCGTGGCACTCCTAGGCAGGGGGACACGTCCCAGAGCTGCCCGGCCATCTCCGCCCCGACAAGGGGAGCGTCTGCCCGAGTGAAGACTACACGGGGTAAGTCAGGGCTGGGGAAGGACAAGGCGCAGGATGGCTGGGCCTGAAGCCTGTCACCTGCCCCTGACTTTACAGCTCTTGGGACCCAGAGCTTCCACATTTTGAGCTGGTTTCGTCAGGGCACTGGGCCTGGCTCATCGGTGATGATGCATGCATGCCCTACCTCTTGCACAAAACCATCCCCAGCGACCCATTCCCCACCCTGAGCCCCACTCCACCCCCAGGCTCCTGCTGTTCCAGACTGTCACAGGGTAAACCAAGCCCGGCCTGCTCCAGCTTACCTCTGGCCCATAGGGAAGGCGAGAGATGAGCTCTGGGGCCATCCAGTAGGGCGTGCCGACCAGTGACTTCCTCCGTGGTACCTCCTTGCTCACCTGGGCGCAGAACCCAAAGTCCGACAGCTTCACCTGCAGCAGGGCACAGGCAGTGGGGGTCAGGGGTGCTGGAGGTGGGAGGGGGAGTAGAGGTGTTCACCTAGTGAACTCCCTGGCCTTGGACGTGCTGGGGCTGCACTCTGCGGCCTAGAGGCTAGAGCCAGACCACTGGGTAGGTCCACAGCCCCCCAGCAGGGGGCCACCAGGTGTGTCACTTCCCCAAGGTTAAAAGGCTGCCTTCCTGGCAGGGTCTGCCCTGGGGCTTCTGGTGGAAATGCCCGAGTCCTACAGTACCAAACACGGTGTGGGGGCTGAGACCCCAGCTGGCTCCCATAGCCCGTGCCCTGGGCCCCTGCGTCCCTGAGCGCAGCCCTGCCCCCGAGGGTATGAGGGGTGTGGCCTACTCTGCAACCACGACACCACACGGCCAGACCCACGCATTTCCACCTGTTTCAGGGCCATGGGCCCCTTTCCGATTCCTGAGGATTCGTATGGATCTTCTCGCCCCCAGGAAACACACACACACAGCCTGCACACAATTTCAGGCTCACGGATGTCCCCCAAACACACCTGTGGCCAGTTCAAGGTGTTCATGGACGCCAACTGCGACTCCCAGGGAAAGAGAGCCCAGCCCTACCTGGCCCTCTGCTGAATGGCTTAACTTTCCTGGGGGAGGGCAGGCAAATCACCACAAGGACCCCCTCCCACAGGAAAGCACGCCCACCCTTAGAATGTAAATGTAGGTTCTGGGCCCTGGGAGGCTCATCCAGGGAGCTCAGAGACAGACTCTCAGCCTGGAAGTCAGGAGACAGGAGTGGGGGCCACTCCACCCTCTCTGGGCCCTGGGTTGGACTCCAGTTCCCACATCCTGTGCAGAAGGCAGAGCCTCCACCCGCCTGCCCCCCCCCCCCCCCCCGCAGCCCATGAGCAGGTGCACGGAGCCCCCCACTGACTGGGGAGGAGCAAACCGACTCCTCAAGCCACTGAACTGGGGGGGTCAGAGGTAGAGGGGAGAGGCAGGGGAAGCCCGAGCCACCCCGCTACTCACCCTGCCGTCGTGGGTCAGCAGGATGGAGTCACTCTTGATGTCGCGGTGGATGACTCCCTGCGCGTGGAGCACAGACAAGGCCTGCAGCACGGCCAGGCACACGGCGGCAATCTGCTCCTCATTCATCCTGCGCAGGGTGGGGGTCAGCAACCGGGCCCCACCGGGGAGGGGAGGGGGGAGAGGCCCTGAGGGAGATGCAGCCCTCCTGCCTCCCGAGACACGGCCCCACCCCCAGGGGTCTGAGGGGACTCCATCCTGTCCTGGGAGAGGTCTGAGGGGACATGGGGGACGCTGCAGCCCCGGAGACCCGGGGAGGCAGCAGGCCGGGTGCCCGCCTGCCCAGCGGTACCTGGTGTGAGTGACGATGTCGGTGAGGGCGCCGCCCTCCAGGAACTCCATCACCACCCAGAGCTCATCCCCGACCAGGTAGCTGTTGTACATCTCCACCACGTTCTCGTGCTGGTAGTCCCGCATGATCACCACCTGGGCACCGGGCCGCGTCAGCGCTGCCAGCCCCTGCCTCAAACCCAGCCACCAGCCGGCCACCAGGCCTCCTGTCTCCCGTCCTTCCCCGGGCTTGGGCTCAGCCTCTGCACAGGCCCAGTCCCGCTTGTCCCTGCCACTCACTGGTTTTCCTGGACTGCCCTCCCCCGTGCCCTAGCCAGGAGACCCTGATGCCCACATTGAAGGGTGCGCTCCCCCACACCCCATTTTCTGATCCTGCTCCCTGACCAGTCCTGAGCTTGCCTCTGAGTGGCCCTGCTGGTGTGGGGAGAGGGCGGCGGGCAGGGAACGTGTAAGCACGGGGTTGAGACGGCAGGACAAGCAGGTACCAGTTATGGGCAGAATCAAAGGCTGGGGGCATGGACTTCAGGGGCGAGGAGGCCTGGCAGGGCATCCTGGGGGCGGTGGGAACATGACACTCGCAGGGGTTCCCTTGGAGCGCTGACGGCACAGCTGGAGCCCTGTAGTATTTGGGGGGCAGGGGATGGGTTATGGGGACCAGCTGAGGGACCAGAAGGCAAGAGGCAGAGTGTAGACCACCTCCAGGCCTGACAAGCGCAGACTCCCGTGTCAGAGTCCAGGGGCAGCTTCCAACAGATTCCTCCGGGGCAGGAGCCAGGAGTCTGTCCCTGTAACAAGCTCCCCGGCAGACGCTCCCAAGAACCAAAGCCAGAGATTGGACAGAACCAAGGACCCTGATGGAAGCCCGACCTCAGAGGCCAGGCCTTTATCCTGAGGACACGGAGGGGCGGGGCAGGGGAACTGCCAGGGTCAGTAAAAGGGGGAGCGGCATGGCAGGCCTGCATGTCCAAGAAAGCCCTTTAGCTGCTGTGTGGGGTTACCCTGGGGGTGCCCATGAGGCAACCCAGGGCAGAGCCGAGCAGGAGAGGATGGGGCTGCAGGGAGGCTAATGTGCTCTCTCTGAGACAGGGAGCCAGGGGAGGGGCAGGGCCGAGGGAGAGATTCTGGGGGTCAGTTTGGGACTCAGTAGTCACAGAGGGGCTCTGGGGAGGCCAAGAGTGTGACAGAGATGCAGTGGTGGGTACTGGGGGTGATGGCCTGGGCAGGTGTGAACAGTAAGGAGAGGAGGCAGCTCAAACCCAAGCCCTGGGAACCCCCAGTGCTGAACGGTCTTCTCACACCCTCCCCCTGATACGGCCTGGACCAGAGAGGGCCTGGACCAGCACCGGCCTCAAAACCAGCTGGGGGAGGACACGAGGAGGGTGAGATGGGGGCGGGAGGGGGCCTGGGGCCCACCTCGTTGAAGAGCAGCTCACGCCTCTGCTGCTTGCGCAGGTCCATCTTCTTGACGGCCACCAGCCGGCCCGAGCTGCGCACGGTGGCAATGCACACGATGCCCGTGGAGCCCTCGCCGATCTTGATGAAGTTGTCCAGGTAGGAGCGAGGGTCACCGGGGTCCACCACCAGCTGCAAGGCAGCCCGGAACTGCTCGTGCGACACTCGCTGGGGTTCCCGCTGTGGTGAGCGGGGCCCGGGGGGCCCGGGGGCCGGGGGGCCGGCAGGGGCAGCGATGGGGCGGGCCTGAGGGGCCAGCTGGGGCTCAGAGGCATGGGGGCCCAGCACTCCCGGGCTGGGGGGACCGCGGGCTCGGGTGGGAGGCCGGGAGGAGGAAGACTGGGGGACCGCCAGGCCCCCTGCCGAAGGCCCGTTGGGGGCCAGGTTGTGAGGCTCCCCCTGCAACAGAAGAGAGAGGTGGCTGTCAGTGGAGGGGTGGGAGGGCCAGCTCTGCTCCCTGCGTGGGACAGACACACGGTGGTCAGGATGGAGATGGACGGTGGGCTGGGCACAGGCTGGAGTTGGTGGGGAGGGAACAGGAGGAGTCTTGGAAAAAGGGGCAGTGGAAGGTCCTGGGGCAGGGGGGTTGGTTACCTGGGCACCCCGGGCCGGGTGGTCCGTATCGGCCCTCGGGTACGTGTTAAAGGGCCGACCAGCTGCCACTCTGGCCCCACCGGCCAGACCGGCAGGTTGAGGGGTGCCGACGTCAGGCCCAGAGAGGGGGCGTTTGTCCCGGGAGGACTCCTGGGGTCCCCCTGAGCCCTCCCTGGAAGACTTGGGCCTCTTCTCTGGCCCCACCCGCCGCCTGTCGCCACTGCTGCCACCCGCCTCGCTGCGACCGGTGGCCCGGCCTTGGCTGCCCGCCTTCTCTGGGGCCCCTCTGGCCGTGCTGGCCGGCTCTGCGGGCATCCCGTTCTCCTGGCGGGCACGGGCAGGTGGCGGTGGGCTGTCTCTCCGCAGGGAGTTGGAGCGCGTCACCGACATGTTCTCAAACTCGTCGAGCAGCAGCGTGAGGGCCCCATCCTTGGCGCCTTTGCTGCCACGCACGATGGTCTGGGGTCCAGGGCAATGGTGGGATGGGGGCCGGGCAAGGAAGAGGAGGACACAGGACGTGTATCCGACACACAAGGACAGGACAACACAACACACACAGAGACAAGACAGAGACGGAATGAAGAAATGCCATGGGGTGATGATGGGGCTGGGCAGGTGGGGGCAGCACCAGGGAGGCCCCTGCAGCCCCTCCCACACCACCGGGATGTCCATCTCGCAGGAAGGAAGCCAAAGGATTAACCTCCCACGGGTCAGGCTGTCGCCCCTGGGCTGGCCAGCGCCCCCGCCCCCCGCCCCCGAAGCATCCCGTCTTTTCTTCTATTCTCCAGGCTGGGGGCTGGTCTCTGCCCCGTGGGCAGGAGAGGAAGGAGCGCAGAGCCCACGCCACCCCATAATCAGCCCTGGAGAGCTGCAAATTACACGATGCTAGGGCCAGGGCATGGCTTGGACTTCCTCCTCTGCAGCCCGCCAGGCTGCTAACCCCAAACCCATGCTCTGTTTCCCTGGAAGCCGAGGTGGAGTATGGGAGAGTTGGAAAGGACCGCAGTGCAGGAGTGCCCTAGGAGCAGTGGTGGCGAATGCGAATTCCCACGGGGCCCGGTGGATGTACCGTGTGTCCCTAATCGACCCCAGCTCCAGCTGCTGAGTCTACCACCCTGATCCAGGTCATGGCTACCTCTTCCCTTGAGTACTGAGTCAAAGCTCCAGGGTTCCCCCGCCCCCCTGGACTCAACTCCAGGCACACAGGGCTCCTCACACATACCAGGCACTCGCCCACCTCAGGACCTTTGCACTGGCTGTTCGCTCTTCCTAGGACACCTTCCCCCAAGTATGCCCATAGCTCCTTCCCCGTCCTCCTCTTTCAGGCCTTTGCCCAAACTCAGTTTCTCAGGGGGAAGCTTTGGTTGACCACCTGGACTCTAAAAGGGCAGCCCCTAAGACTCCCTATTCCCCCTCCCTTTCTTCTCTTTCTCTGGAGCACCTGAAACCAGCTGCCGTGAAGCACGCGTACACTGACCATCGCCTGCACCCCCCCCCCCCGTGTGTGATGTTCATGAGGGCAGCTGTTGTATTTGCCTGTTTTTCTGCTCTTGCTACATCTTAGCACCTAGAACAGTGGTATGTATGCAGAGAGTGCTCAAGAAACACTGGCTGAACCAGTGAGGGAGGGAGGAGGGCTGGGAGGGGGCTGCGGGGAGCAGAATATGCACCCCTATCCCTCTGCTGTCCCTCGCTGGCCTGCGGGGACGTGGGCCCAGGGCTGCCAGACATCCTCAAGCCAGAACTGCCCCCTGTACTGTGCACAAAACACTGATGCCACAAAACGCACCTCCAACCCCGCCAACCTTCCTGGGCCTGGCCGCGAGCATGGAGGCCCAGCCTTGCCCGGGCACCAGGTAACGCAAGGTAGACACCTGGTCAGACCCTAGTGCTGGAATAAGAGGCCGAGAAGTCCCTGGGGGCCGGGGGAGGGTCTGGGAGGACCCACCCAAGGGGAGATTCCCAGCCTAGGGCAGCGAACAAATACCCAGAGGGGTCCCCATACAGCGCTAGCCCACGCGCACCCTCCTGTGAATCAAGACAAGGTGCCTCCTCCTCCTGGCGGACACAGGCCCAAGCAGGGCTCACCGCCGGTGGTATGGGCAGGGGTCAGATTTTAGGGTCCCCTAGGGAGGCCAGAGCCAGCACGGAGCAGCCGGGAGGCCAGCCAGGGGATGGAAATGAGTAGGGCTGGGGGGGCCTGCGGGCCCAGAAGAGCCAGTGCCCCGTCCGCGGTGGCCGCCACCCCCTCAGCCCCTGCGATCAGTCAGCAGAAGCCAGAAATACAGATTTGGATGTGAAGTCTCTGCTGTTTTAAGCCGCGGCAAAGAGTTCAAAGTACTCAAAAGGCCGGCATGAGCTACCCGCCCCCGCAGCCCTGGCCCTGGCACCGACGCCCACCGGGAGAGGGGGGCTCAGCCGCAGGCCGGTCCCCAGGCGCTGGGCCCGCACGCCGGCACACCCGTCTCCACCCCAGAACAACCCTGGCCGCGTGCCCTCGGCCCTTCCTGGTTCCCACTGCCCTCAGGGTGAAGTCCGCGCTCCGGGGCTGGCTTCCACGCCCTGCCATGGGCACGCAGATGGGAACGGGCTCAAGGGCCGTGGGCTGTGGAAACAGACCCTGGTTCAAATCCCCACTCCACCCTTTTGCTCAAGATGGCAGGAACCCCCCACCCCCCCACAAAAACACCTCCAGGGCTTTCCACAGACTGCTTCCTCCACTTTAAGCCCCGCCTCCTCTCCATCTGCCCGGGGACAGACACGTCCTCAGCCCTCAGGGCTCAGCTCAGGTGTCCCCTCCCCCCAAAGCTCACCCAGACTCCCTGGCAGCAGCTCCCCTGGGCCGCCCAGCCAGACCCTCCCCCCGACCCTGGGGGCCTGGCCCTTGCCCGAGGACAAGTTCCTGGTACTGGGGATGGGCACAGAGCCCAGGGAGAGGAGGCTCAAGACAGGAGGCTGGTGGGGGGGGGTATGCCGTAGGGGTCAAGGTGGAGGTTGCGAGGCAAGGGGAGGGGTCAGCGGGTGGAGGGATCGAGGTTAGCACTGGGGGTGAAGATCAGGGTAGAGGGTTGGGGTGTGTGTGTCTGGCAGGCAGTGAGGAGGGGTCGGCCCCAGGGTCAAGCATGGGGTTGAGGGCGCAGGGGCACCCTGTGGGCTCGGTGTGGGGCAGGAGAGGCAGCGGTGGGTCATACCTTGGGGGCCCCGGGCTGGATGGAGGTGATGCAGGCGGGGTCCACCAGGGGCTTGGGCCGCCGAGCCGACTCCTCGATCAGGCTCTGCCACTGGCGGGGCAGCCCCGTGAACTTCTGCTCGTGCTGGTCGAAGCCCGTGTGCACGCGGTGCTCGAAGTTGGATGGCGCTGAGATCTCTACTCGCTTCTTCTTCTTCCCAAACATGGTGCCGAGGCTCTCAGCACCACGAGGGCGCAGACTTGGGCTCCTATCAGCAGGCCTGCGGGAGGGGGCCGCTCACCAGAACCCGGCCATTTCTCTCTGCTCCTCTGACCCTGCCCTGGCCCTGCCCCTCCTCGTCTCCTCCTTGGTCTCCCATCCCCCACCTGCAGCCCAAGGGACCCTGTGAACCATCTAAGTGGGGCTGAGTCCTCCCTGCAGCCCACCCCACACGACCTGCCCCTGTCACCTCTCTGCTTTCACGTCCCCTTCACTGACACTGGTTTTCAAACCTCAGGGCCTTTGCACTGGCTGTTCCCATCTCGTGGAACACTCTTCCCCAGTAGCCACACATGGCCCCCTCCTCCTTCCCCTCCTGTAGGTCTTAAGAGTTGTCAGCGAATCTTTTCCTGACCATCCCCAGTGAAAGAGGTGCCCCGCTAGCCTTCCATCACAAAGCTTCACAGGATGTTTAACTTCTGGAAGTTCTGCTGTTCGTTTCTTGTGTTTACCAGTTTGATGTCTACACCCCCCAGCCCTAGAATATCAGCACCGCATGCCAGGTCTCATCTGCCCCATGTGCCCGTGTCGTACCCCATACCCAGCACAGGGCCTGGCCTCCAGTCCGTGCTCAGTGACTGAGTCCTTTGGTGACTTGTTCGACAACTGCTTACACAGTCCCCTGTCCTATGCCTGGCCTCTGGGAGCCTCATGGCAACACTCCCAGTTTTTTTTTTTTTTAATGTATATTTTTTTATTGGCGTTTGATTTGCCACCATATAGTATAACACCCAGTGCTCATCCCGTCAAGTGCCCCCCCGGAACACTCCCACTTTATAGATGAAGAGACTGAGGCTCAGAGAAGGGAGCTCCTCACTGGGAGCACACAGTGGGAAAGTCCCACCGCGCAGCTACTAGCAGACAAGACGATCCCCGTCTTTAGGGTCTGTGGTCTCTAGGTGGATGCTTCGGAAAGTACCAAGCACCGTATAAATGCTCAATGGGAGCCAGTTGTAAAAGCGAAGGGGCCGCAGGGGCGATGGTGTCCCACAGGGAGCGCAGGGTGGTGAGGGGAAGGGGCGTCAAACGGCCAGGGCCCAAATCTAGCTCTGCCACTTACTCTGTGTGACCGTGGGCAAGTGACTTAACCTCTCTGTGCTGCTGCCGTGAGGATTAACAGGGTTGGCAGGAGCAGAGCAGGGCACGGAGTGAGGGCCCCGTCCACGTTTGTGGCTCTGATCATCAGGAGCACTCCTAGCAATGTCTGAGGGAGGAGGGGCCCCAGGTCCCGCTCCCCTGTCCCACACAGGAACCCTGGGGTCCCACAGACCTGGTGTGATGCTGGCTGGGCTAGAAGTGCCCTCGGGCAGGTGATGTCTCCTCTCGGGGCCTCGGGTTACTCATCTGTAAAATGGGAAGAACATATTCACGCATGCATTCATTGGTCACTCTGCTCTGTGCCCAGCCCTGTGAGCTTGCCGCTAGGGACACAGTGGTGACCAAGATCGCCTCCAACAGCACAGGGTGGTCAGGGCTGGGGTCAGGAGAGGCTTCCCCGAAGAGAGGCTGTGCGAGCTAAGACTCAGAGGATGCGGGGAAATGCACTGGGCTGGGATCTTTGTGGGTTCAGGCTGGTTCCCCGGAGCCTGGCACGGTGCCCAACACAGGGTTGGCCCCAAGCTCAGTGAGTCCCGTGACCTACTGAGGGCTCTCTCGAGCGTGTCCGGGATGCTGCCCTCCTCCCTCCCTATTCCTTTCCTGTGGGAGCAGCTCAGTGAGGTTACAACAGCCAGCCACCCCTCGCCCAGAGGTAGGACCATCAGTGGGGAGCCATCTAGGAGAACCGGTTTGGCAGCAGGAGCTCAGTGGGAGGGGGTGGGGATCCAGCAGACAACCTGTCTCAACTGGTTGGGGCTTCATGGGCAGCAGGTGGCCAGAGCCAGGTTCGGCCAGGGCTGCCGTCGCAGGTCTGGTCCCCCCTGTTGCTCTGGGGCCCCTGGCTGCTGGTATATGGGGTGTGACAGCCCTGGCCAGGATGCAGGCCCCTTTGCCTCTGCCCCCAACCAAGCCAGGAGCCCCTTCAGCGTCTTCCCCGGGTCCAGCTCGCTGCATGCAGCCCATCCCTCCTGCCTAGACTCCGCCCCCTGGCCCCCACCCACCCTGTTCTGGCTCCCTGGCCTCTCTGCCCTCAGCTGTCCACCTCTCCAGGACCGGTCCTCGCCTTGTCTCCACAGCCAGGCTTTCCCCATCCTCCTCACTGTCACCCCAGTCAGAGCTACGCCTCCACCTCCTCGCTGTGTTCCCAGATGCGCCCCCACCTGGCCCCAGGCCCAGCTCACCCCTCATCTCGGCCTCTCACTCAGCCTACCCTTCCTCCCCCAGCAGCCCACAGCCCCAGGCACCACGTCACTCCGGGGAGTCGGATTAGCCACGTGACCCCTCACTAAACTCCAGGGAGGGAGGGGCGGACCCCAAGGTGGGAGGAGCTCGGCACCAAACGGTGTGGGCAGGCTCAGCCTGGACCCTCACCCACACACCCCAAGGCGCCTCTGCACGCAGCAGCCAGCCCCCTGTTTATCCTGTCCTCCAGGCCTGTGACCCTGCAGGGGAAGGGGACCAGGGACACACCTCCGGATATCTGCCCGGGGCCACCCCTTCCCTCTGGGCACCGCATGGAGAGAGGCACAAACAGAGGAACTGACCGTGTTTATAATGATCCGGCTCCAGCTCCAACCTGGGGCAGCTCCCAGCTCTCCCGGCTCCCTCACCAAGCCACCCCCCTTCGGGCCAAGGCCCCCAGCTCCTGATCTGAGGGGGGCCACAGAGGGGAAGGCGGGGGAGCTGCAACACAAAGCTCGGTGCCTGTGCCAGGAGCCAGAGGCGGGCGAAGAGGGGCTGCTGGGGCTCCCCTGCTGGCTCGGAACCTGGGAGTCTGGCTGCTGGGGCTGTGCCACCTCACCTTCTGCCCTTGGGAGCCAACCAACCCACCCTGGGAGCTCACTGTGCAGCGGGGGCCTGCAGCTCGGCCACCCTGTGCCTCAGTTTCCCCTGTTAAAGAGGGTAACGCCAGTACCTGCTTCCTGGAGTCCTTAGAGGAGTCCCAGTTAGAATGCCAGGCACCCACGCAGTAAGGCAGCGGCCAGGAAACGAGGTCACCATTCTTACGGTGGGAGCCGACACTCGCTGAGCACCTACTGTGTGCCGGCCTCTCTTCTAAGCGCCCCACGCACGTGACCCACGAGGAAGCAGCCACGACAAGCCCCGCGTTACAGCCAAGGGATAACGAGGCACAGCGAGCCCGCAGCTTGGCACAGAGTGGACCTGAGGCTCCGGCCTGGGAACCCGGAGCCTATGCCAGGCTGGTTCTCAGAAATAAAGGCAGCGGTGGTCTCAGAGGGCCAGGCGTGCCAGGCTCTGCTGGCCGCCCTCTGCCCCCGATCCCTCTTCCCCTGCACAACTGACCAGCCCCAATTCACAGATGGGGAGCCTGATGCCCGGAGACAGGAAGCCCCTTGTCCAGGGCATCCAGCATTCAAACCGGGCAGGTGGGCACCAGAGCCCAGGCTCTTACCTGCCTGGCCTGCCCTGAGGGCTAACGGGGACGCCACTGCTTCTGTCACAGTCACCATCATCTTCACCTCCGGGTGCCTTCCTTCCTCCCTCCCAAGCCCCCCGTCCATGCCCATACCCTGCCCTTCCTTGTTTTTCAAAATTATTTATTTATTTAATTTAAGAGAGAGCAAGAGTGAGAACGAGAGAGAGAGAGAGAGAGAGCACAAGGTGGGGGGGGGCAGAGGAAGAGGGAGAAGCATGACATGGGGCTCGATCCCAGGACCCTGGGATCACGACCTGAGCTGAAGGCAGACACTTAACCGACGAAACCACCCAGGTACCCCTTGTTTTTTTTTTAAGTTGATTTATTTATTTTTCGTAATCTCCACTCCAACGTGAGGCTCGAATTCATGACCCCAAGATCAAGAGTCACATGTTCATCCAACTGAGTCAGGTGCGCCCACACCCTGCCCTTCCAGTCCTGCCCTGAGCCCTCCTTGGGCTGGAGGTCCCTACCTCCTACCTGACCTGTCCCAGCCCCCCAAGGGCAGTGGGAGGCAGCACGTGCCCCCAACCCCATGGCCCTCTATCTCCCTTTACCCTGGGCCATCGGGAGGACAATCTGCAGGGGTACAGGTGGCCACACACCAGTCCCCGCCACCAAAATGTGCCTTTCCGAGGCTCAGCCACGGCACTGACATCGCTACTGCCACCGAGAGGGACCCTGCAACTCTGCGCAGATCCACTCAGCTCATGGACCCGGGGAGGGTGTGGGGTGGAGGTGGGGGTGGGGGCAGCTATTCTCATTTCCTTCTCGCAGATGTGGAAACAGGATTACAAAGGTGAAATCTCTTGCACAGGTTACCAAGCAGAGCTGGGCCTAGAAGACAGTTGGATCCACTACAGAGCTGACCTCCCGAAGCCTGCTGGGCCCCGAGACGCATCCCCGTGATCTGCCTGTCACCTCTGCCCCCTTGCTCGTTCTGCCCCAGCCACATGGGCCTCCTTGCTGCTCTTCAAACCCCAGACATGTCCCCACCTCAGGGCCTTTGCACTGGAGGCCACCCCAGCTGCCGGAAGCTCATTCTCACTGATGTGCACATGGCTCCCTCCCACATTCCCTCTACCTGCCTCGGTGTTCAGATAGCCGTGCTCCTGTCCTGTCCCCTCTACGCCTTTTCCTTTGCACCTGGCATCCGTCTTGCTTCCCACTGTACCTCAGTGTCCGCAACATGGCCCAGCCCACCCGAGGCACTCAAGGAACCTCTGGTGAATGCACGGACTCATCTGTACCTGCTAGGCTACATCCCTGCTCAGACACCGATTCCGCCCAGGTGGTCCTTAGGAAACCCTGGGAGAGGGTGAAGCAGCCCCTCAGACAGAGGGAGCAGGGGGGACACCGGCCAGGCCACAGATGCCTCTGAAGTCCAGCATCTGATCCCAAGAGCACAGGCACATTTTGCCTCCAACTCTGAAACATTCACTGCAATTTAAAAAAACTCTTTTAACTTATTTGACATGCGGGACAGGCAGTTTCCAACGTGTCCTAGTCAAAGCTTCAGGTTTTCTAGTCACATTCGCTTGTTCTACCCTCTGAGCTTTCCTGGGAAGTAAATGATACCCACCCACCCACCCACCCACCAAGGAAATCAGCTCTGGTAGAAAAGCAAGATCCACTTGTGTGAGTATGACAAAGCCACCCGGGGGGTGTGTGCATGCGTGTGTAAAACTCCTTGCCTCCCCCCAGGCTCTGAATCAAGCTGCTCCCCTGCAGTCTGGGGAGCCGCCGACCTAGTGGGAACCCAGGGGCCCAGGGAAAGAGCAGGGGATGTTCTAGGATCACAGTCTCAAAAATGAAACCCTAAATCAGGAAGGGAACCATGAAGGAGGGCTCACTGACCCCAGCCTGCACTCAGGGCTGCCACCACTTGTTCCCACTCACCCTCCTGCCAAGACTCCCCCTACTAGCTCTGGGAAACCCCTTCCCACCTCAGTTTACCCTGTTGTCCCTGGCTGTGTTCTGACAATGGAGGGGGAGTCTGGCCTACGTTCCCGGCCCCCACAGAATCCTCCCTTAACCCCCCACACCTGCCCACCTCCACACCTTTGCTCAGCTCTTGTGTGCCCATCTGTATAACCCTCAGCCTCCCCAGTCCAATCTCTATCCCACCCCCCACCCTCCCACTGCCGAGCCTAGTCTCTCCAAGGAATCATCAGAGACCTTGACCCCAGATGCCACCACAAGCTTTGGGTCTGATATGTGCCCGAGCCCCGTCCTTGGCCAACAGCTACTCTACCCCCAAAGGACCCCATCACACTCACACTCCCGGCCACCGTCAATGGCTACTGAGGGCTGATCTCTGCCAGGCAGGGGCTGGGGCTCACAGCGGCAGTCAGAAGCGCCAGAGCATCCCTGCCCTTGCAGACAGAGCTCGCTTCTAGGGGAAAGGAGACAGTCGATAAATGAGCTAAGTCAGAAAAGTCTATAGTAAGTCAGATGGTAAATGCTGAGGACATACACAAAGCAAGGATGGAGAGGGCTGAAGGGCAGGGAGGTTGGAATTCTCAATGAGGTGGTAGGGGAGGGCTTGGCTGGGAAGGTGACCCTTGAGCAGGGACCCCGGGGGGGCGTGGGGGGAGGGAGCCACGTGGATGCAGGGAGGAAGAGTCCGGGCAAATGTCCCCAGCTGGGAACGTGCTTGATGTGGTCAGAGATGGAGCTGGTGCGGGGCAGGAGGTGGCCGGGGCAGATCGTGCTGGGACCTGCGGGCCACGTGGACAACTCTGTCCTTTCCCCAGGTGAGGTGGAGCCTCACAGGGGCTCTGAGCAAGGGAAGGGACGTGGCCTGACTCAGGCGTCCACAGGCTCCCTGTGGCCATGTGGAACCCAGGGAGGTGGAGGACGTGACAAGCCAGCGGAAGCCGGGGGTGGGCAGGGCCACGTGGGGGCTCTGGAGGGAGAAGTGGGCGGGCTCTGGGCATGATGCAATGGTCCAGATGACAGGACATGCTTTGGACTGACCCCACCTCTCGCACTGGCTGCAGCAAGAGCACCGCGGGGGCGGGGGCTGGGTCCGGTCTTGCCCATCACCGCGTCCTCAGCCGCTGGCCTGTTCCTCTGCCCTCTCCTGGCCCTGTGCATCCCCTAACACGTTACAGTGATGAGTGTGCCCATTGTTTCCCACTAAGCAGGGGCTCGGCGCAGCCAGGAGCCCAGCACCTAGAGCGGGCCGCTCCTTCTCCACACCTGAGCGGATGGGGGGACAGGCACAGGCTTTGGTGCTGACTCGGGCCCTGGTCCGTGCCAGGCATGCAGATCAGGCCAGGCTGAGCCCTCCCCAAGGTACTTGGGTGAGTGGGCAAGGGGGGGTAGTTCTCTTCCTTCCTGTTTCCCAAACCAGAAAACTGCGGCCCAGACAGGGGAAGTCACTGCCCAGGGCTGCCCAGCAACCACAAGGTGCTGCCCTGACCCACAGAGAAGGCCTCTGCTCTAGACGCAGGACCCTGGACGCTTGTGGGACAAGAACAAGGGCAGAGACAACTCTACTGCTTACGACCAGAACCAAGATCAGAAAGGCTGCCTTGGTTAGGAAGGACCCAGGAGCAATGTTAATAAACAAACAGCTCTCCCAGGGCTTCCCACTTGAAGTTTCCCACTGTGACCTACTAAGGCCCTGCCCAGATGGACTCCGCCAACCTCGGGACCTCATCCCTTCTTCACTGCAACTACATTGGCCTCCTATTTATTTAGTCTTGGATGCTTCAACCTTGTTCCAGCCTCAGGGCCTTTGCACCTACTATTCCCTCTGCACAGAGCTGCATGGTTTGCCCTTTCCTGATATTTGAGTCTCTGTGCAAATAAAACCTCACTAGAGAGGTCCTTCTTGATCCCTGACAACATCTGCACTCCTGCTTTTACTTCCCCGTGGCATTTACTACCATCTGACATGATGCACATGCAGACCTTTGGTCCCCTCCTCCCTCCCGGCCCCCAACAGGGGCTCCCTGAGAGCAAAGGCCTTCGTCTCATCCTTGCTGTGTCCTTGGCATCTAGAGCAGCAGGCACTCAGCAAATATTCATGGAACAAATGAATGATGCCATTGCCAAGTGATGGGTCTAGACCCCGAGGAGGAACAGGCAGAGGGTGGCCAGGAGTCCCCAGTGCCTGTCCCACACAGCCTGCAAATCTGACCTTCGTGCCCGAGCAGGAACTGGTCTGAGTCTTTAGAGACCAAACCTGGCTTTTTGTTAATAAGCTGGCATATGTTCCAAGTGCCACAAAAGGTGCCCCACTGTGATCCTATCCCTGGGCCCACCCCACCACGGGGAGGCCCACCCTGGCCACACGACCTCGGCTGGAGATGTGAGGAAGTGGCAGCCCATTTTGGCTACAGGCAAGAAGCAAGTCACACAGTGAGAGATGCCACCAGAAATTCACTGGTCCCCATAACGGTTAGAATCCCATAGGGTGACACAGATCCAGGGGCCACCCTGGCCTTGGGAAGCAGCTGGCATTGGCAGTCTGGGGCACGAGCAGCAGCCCTACTCTCTCCATGTCCCAGCCAGATGCAGCGCCATCTCCCCACCACTGGGCCTTTGCACAGACCGTGCGAGAGCAAGGACTCGGGAGGCAGGTGGTGGTTAGGAGCAGGCTCCCCAGGCTAAGTTACCAGGCCCACCACTCCTAAGCTGTGTGGCCCTGAGCAAGTGAGTCAACAACTGAGGGTGACGATAGCCCCTATCTCCCAGGACTGTCTGGACGATCGAATGAGATGGCAGATGAAAAGCATTTAGGACCCTGCCTGCCACCAAGTGGGTCCTCGCTACAGGTTACCCCGCTGGCATTACCACTGCCAGTGCTGCTGCTGCTGAATGCACAGGGGAAGGAAAGAGTAAACGAAAGGGATGCGGGGCATAGTCCTCTCCTGGCCAGAGCAGGGGCGCCAGCCTTACTGTCTCACCGCCTTACTTTCTCCAGGGCCCGGATCTGGGAGCAGAACGGGCTGCACTGTCTGAGGACAGGTCTGCTTCCCCCGCTGCACTGGGAGCCTCCCGAGAGGGTGGTGCCGGGGGCCCTCTCAGCCACCCTATGCCTCCAGCCCTGCCCAACCCGGAAGGGGCACAGTTCAGGGAGTGGGGCTGAATGAAGAGAAGGTATTTCCTGGGCCCAGCCAAGGGCTTCGAGCCCCCAGGGAGGTCAGGCGGCTCCTGGGGCAGGCCCACACTCAGGTGCCCCCTCCCACCAGGCCAGGCCCCACAAGGCCCAGACAAAAGGATACTGTTGGCTTCCTTCGTACCCCTAGAGGTACCCAGGGTGGGGATGGATGCCACAACAAACCTGAGAGTGTGGGCGAGCCCCCAGGGACTAGGAAAATCAGATTAGACTTCATTCATTCTTCCCCCCGAGGCAGGACAGGAAGGAGGGAGGGGGGAACAGGCAGGAAAGAGGCTCCAGAGCCCTCCCAGGACACCCCACCCCTCCCTCCAGCCCTGCCCTGCCATGCAACTCCCTGCTACACACACACACACACACACACACACACACACACACACAGCACATGCACACATGAGCCCTAGATACTGAAACATATGAAGCTGCCCCACGGCACCCGGTAACAGCAGCCACACAGGAGCCTTGGCAAGGAAAGGACATCCCACCCTGAGCCTTAGTTCCTGCCTTTGGGATACAGGCCCCAGTGGAGCATGCCTGAGCTTTGTGGCATCCGTGGGAGAATGTGGGGGAAGCAGTCATCAGGAGGGGCCTGGCTCGGAGGAACTCAGGATGGAAAGGCCAGAACAATCGCACAGTCCACAGCTGGGTCCCCCAAGAAGCCGTGTGGACGCCTCCCCCGCCCCTAGAGGT